TAACCACGCCAATGTACCCTCGCCTTCAAATGACCAGAAATTGTGCAATTGCAGAAATTGACGTGGCATTAACGTGGCATCGATTCAAGAACATCTTTGAGCACACGTGATGTCACCTTTTCATCGAGAATTTAGCCACGTGTGCCAATGCCACGTCAATTTCTGCAATTGCACAATTTCTGGTCATTTGAAGGCGAGGGTACCTCATTTTCATTTGTTGCACCTATAATTCAATTGAGCTCCCTGGACGTGATCTGGTTTGACCTCAAGAGACTCGCCCCGTCTATACTCTCCAGATCATGATTTCCACTGCATTATCCAAGTGGAAACGTCTTAGGAAAAACCTACGATGATCATCAATCTACAAATTTCCGGTGTTCGATCAAAAGGGTGGAACATTCAACACTGATAAATCCCTTTTGGAATGCGCTACGCATTCTGCTGCTCTTGGGATCGCAGTGGCATTTGGGATGCGATTAGGGCTGTTCATTGTCTTGTGGAAGTCAAGCAATTTACCAACGTTTTTATCCTCCCAGACAAGGTCTGGTACCAATTAACCGACCCCGGAATGGAAGGCTTGGTTGGCCCGGGCGACTCACGACCCAGGATTTGATCCCGGACCGTGCGCGTGGTAACCGCCTCCAAATAGCACTAAACAACTTTCAGCCTCGCGAATATGTTGGTCGGATGTAGCACCAGAAGTACTCTTCGCGAATGCCTCTTTGGTTCACACTCGTGACCGTTAAAGCCATGGGTCGGCTTTAGGTGCGGAGAAGTAGTCCTTCCTGTAGTCACGACGGCAGGTCTGCGAGGCAACGGCGCTAAGGCCTTGCCTTGTGTGCTGCCGTGCTGCCATCCTTATCAATCACGGCATACGTGGCGTCTGCGCCCTCTCGCGTACGACGTGCTCTCTCGCGTTTTCCCTCTCCTCGCAGCGCTGTGTCTCCGTCATACCACAGCCGGCCTTCACAAGGGAATTTTAATGATTTCTATGGTACTCCTTGCTTTTTCTTCCCAGTGGACTTCCGACATCGCACTTGTTAAGCTTTTTAACAAAATAATTCACCAAGTCGATCCCGACTTGTGCCTTTGAGTGAAGATGAATAGCCCTGGCAGCTATTATATTAGTATCCTGAAGGTGGCCGAAGTCTTACCAGGAAAGTAGTTCAGTACGTGGAGCGCTTTTTGGGAACGGTTGATTGCATGTTATAAGGGCACGTGGATTTAGCATAAAGCTGACGAAATTTTTTACTGAGATTGCGAGAAGAAGAGCAGCAGACTTCTTTCAGAAGGAAGCTTTCATTTTGGTGAACTCCATAGCATTTGTAGCGTTGAATATTGGCATATTGGGACGTATCTGTTCAGTGAATGAGTTCATACTTATAAGAGCGCAAGAAATGGTAATCGGAGAAAAAAAGGCATTTTCAAAGCCCCTTGGAATGATCCTCAATTTATGCCCCGCATGCTTGCCCCTATAAAATACCCAGAACGCGATGGACAAAACCTTGCGGTTGTGGAGGACTCTCTGTTGAGGCACACTAAAACACGTGTATTCAGCGTTCAGACAAGAAACGCTCTCACTAGTAAACTAGCTATGAAGTAATAGGCTAATAGTTGTCCCTAGCTATGGACTGCTGGTATACGCGTGACATTCGCGCCAAAATAGGAGCTTTTCAGCAAGCAAGCGATTTGACATCAGAAAAACTCTCCAGCAGCGTGCACCAAACCAATTGCACGGCGGAGTTTGGAGGCAACTGACTCATCGACTACGGCTTCCCAACGAACGAAAGCGGAAATATACACTGCTTTGCTCATTTGTATCAGGTCTCGCCTTTGTGGGGTTGCTTTTGATCTTCACCGATTCCACACAATGCTCTTTCACGGTTGCGTACAGAAGTGCAATTGTGGAAGAGCATTGTGTGGAATCGGTGAACATCAAATGCAGGCTTGTGGCGCAACGCTTGTCTCTGAGAAACAAACTGGTATATCCAGATATTACCTAGATCGTCGCTGAATGCAAGAAAGCTGTCTCATTGCCGAATTCGAGCAAGGAAGCTTTTTTCTTGCTTGTTGCATCTTATGCAAACTATCGATAATTATTGATCGATATTGTGAAATCCTCATCAGCTCCATCCTGGCATCGGATGCTAATTCGATTACTGTCAATATTATGCCGATTTTGTCGATTTTGGCGACCATTCTATCTCTTATCAGTTTTGTTTTGGTAAATACAATAGTACTCATTTGTCTTACCGTGTGGACCGCGCTCCGGTGCGGTCATTCACTCTCGTTCCGAAAATCATGGCACTCAAATATTGCGATTCCGATTTTCTAAAGCAAGCACTATCTTATGGGATTAAGTTCCTCTCAGACGGATACAGGAAGTTTTCACGCTTTCCTTGTATTGATTCTGCTTATCACGTAATCACCTTCATCAGGCAAAAAAAGAGGCGCTTATCGCAGTCTTATCGGGGCATCGTTTATCAAACTGACCCTTGCGAGGGGGCAGGAACTCCGTAGGAAATGAAAATGGCTCACGCACCCTTCAGTCTCTCTTCCCTGCCCAAGGCTGAGTCCCATTTTTCACAAGCGCAGCGTTTATGGAGCGTTCAGAGTTGGCGATCGTACGTGCGATTAGGCGATTAGGCGATTAGGCGATTAGTCTATAATGAAAAATATACGTATAGATTAGGCGATTAGGCGATTAGGCGAGTAGGCGATAGGCGGGGAAGACAACATACGTATTGATTGGTTTGCTCCGCCCATAGAACGTTGTAGGCGAGTAGGCGATTGCTCAATGGGCGGAGCAACAAAACAATACTTATCCTCTTTTCATCACCTACCCGCTTAAACAACTAGTCGTCTACTCGCCAACTCGCCTAATCGCACGTACGTTCGCCAACTATAAACGCTCCATTAGATGCGTTACCACCACACTGTCCCTGTATCTTGCGATAGCGCCGAAAATGTCGAACAGACGAATATGATCGCCTTGTGATCCGCAGGTGGCTCGCAGGGCGTAGAAGGCAGAGCCAATGCATGTTATAACTCGCTGTCCACCATCTTACGACTTCCACTTCATCTATCCACTCTGTCGATACGTGATCCTTTTAATCTATTCCATCGACTTTGAGGTTGCATACTGTGAACAATTCCTGAGGCAGGCGCAGTCGCGGTAGGGAGATTCGGCCATGCTGCTAGAAGGGGTGCATAGTGTTGTTAATAGAAGATCACTGATTCCCCGACTCTCCGGATCGATACGTATACACCATTCAGGGAATCGCGAAATCGCCCTAGTCATGAGCTAATCAGTGGTACGCTGGGTGGCATTTCCTGTCAGGCAGAACGGTCGAGATATCTCCGAGTATCATCTCTAAATAATTACCGTAACCTGAGGAGCTGTTCCGGGCAGTAACTATGGCCCGATTGCAACACAACTATCTCAAGGGGATTATCGACCAATCCTTTTGGCGGCAAACCCTTGCGGTCATGAAAAAGCAGTTCATCGCCACCAAGTGTGCAATCGATTTGATGAGGGTGTATATGAGTGTTTATGAGGTCCTGAGCAAATATACAGTGGTCCTGCTCATAGGTGGAATGGTCATCATTACTCCCTTTGTTGTGTTCGTGTTAATTGGTTGAGATCAAGCGCATTCGCCCATACTTTGTGTTTTTGGGGTTGACTCGAAAATCGATAAAAAATTCTGTGCAGAATATATGAATACTTACCCAGACTATGAATCAGACTACAACAAATACTGTTCAACATGTCCTTGATCGTCGCTACAATTTAAGAAACGTCCACAAGCGTTTATATTTATTTGCTTCTAATATTATACTCACCTTCAATGTGGCGACACATAGGAGTGAGTTGTCATTTATTAAAATTACTATCATGTTATATTAAGTCCATTTATTCTCACGTCCAGATTTGACATGTAAACATGGGGCTACATGGTGGAGAGGAGACGCGTAGGCAGATTTCTCTGGCACATCAATTTTCCTTCCATTCTCACATTTTTGCTCAGTGGTCTATAAATTGTGTAAACCCAGATTGTTAAATATCAATAGTTCTAATTCGACCTTATTCGCCGTAAAGTCGCATTCATGTTAAACGTAGTTAATCAGGAATTAATAGATTCATTGGAAAACTTCAGCACGTATATTGATTTGAACAGAAATTTCACATTCTCATTTTCTTCAGTCAACGCAGTCAGTGATTTTATCAAATCTTTCTACACAAATCTCCTAGTCTTCTAATAATCTACTCTTTGACTCTTCCAATCAATGCATATTTTTATATTTTTTTTTACATTATTTCCTGATCTCTCACAGAGTTGAATGTGAACTCGGCCCAACTGTTACCAGTGATCTAGCAAAACTTGTTTTCCTGCTTAGGCCACGAAATGCGACTGCACGCCATCTGCATTAGATTATGTAGCCGTGGAAAACGAAGATTTCTATATCTTTCACATGTGAAAATAAAATTGCGCTTCAGTTGGGCGAAGAATTGACGATCAATAAAAATGTTTCGGACAGAATAGGCGTTGTACTACCAGTGTCATGAATATTCTGTTTATTGTTGTAACCAAATGTCTTTTTTCCATTTTCTTGATGTCACTTCACGATTAATTTCTGGAGATTGGATATTTTGGTCATTTAGCCTGGCGTATATCCACAGACCAGTCAACAACAACCGATTAATGGAACTGATATGAAGTCTCTTCACGACCAGTTACAAAGGGAACGGCTTCTACGAGAAAGTGCAGAACGTGAACTGCACCATCTAAAGGTAAATTACTTTGAACAGTTTGTTGTTTCTCCAAATGCGTTTTCTTCGAGTAATCTTTTATTGTATGCAATTTTTTCTCTGAAAGTCTTGGATTCTCCCTTTCCCGTGCTCGTGACCCTTACCCTACGCTCTTATCAAAGTCAAGTGTAACGCCTTGTAGATAGGGTGTAATCAGCATTGCATTTCCGCAAGACTTAAAAAATCGTTGTTAGTAGCCGCCATCTTCACCTACCACTTTCCTTATCATATCTAGGGGCATTTTGTGGGTGGATAGACGATAGGGTAGGGGAAATGTAACCTTCTTTGTCAGACTACTTTCTGAGGTCGACTCAATCTGTTTTGTATCCGAAATAAAAAAAAGAAAAATGAAACATTCGGAACTGATAAATTTTTCGGTATGTTTCATGCAAATCATATGCTTCGCGCGATGAGCAGCGACATTTTGTCCCTACACCACTTTCGTGCCAAAAAATTATTGGTCTAATAGAAATGTTAAAGGTATGTTCCCACGTTCAGCTGAGTGTAATTCTGTAGTTAATTCATGTCTTCCCAAGGGGTTTCACATACCTTATAAGGTTCCGAGCAGATATAGCAGCTGCACAAGCGTCAACGAAGAAATTTTAGCGGTGAAAGTTATGGACATGTCTTGATCTGAAGAACTGTTGTTTGTTGAGATGGTAGTGGTTCGATTTCATTCCAATTTGATTTTCTTCTCATTATTGCATCTGCGTTGGGTAGCGATGAAAGCTACAGTTCTTCGTTGGACTTCTACTGTTCTTCTTTTTGCTTTGAGAGTTAGTGATTTGAATGCAGGAAAAAGCAATGCATGCTCTACTGTCACTGGAGCAAGGTTAAGATGTAGCCGAACAAATTCGTTAAAATTCAACATTTGCTACAATTCCAACGTTTTCTTTTCAGAGATATACTTCCGATTTGACACGTAACCTGCAGTACTCATATTGGGTGATCTCACAATTACAACAAGCGATCAGGGTAAATGTAAGCATAAATTTCTTTTTCTGAAATTGTTGTTGATATTCGCACCCTTGACTGCAAAATTAGGAGCTGCAGCTTCAGAACGCTAATCAAGCGGAAAAGGCCTGGCCTGTGGAGGCCTCAGGCATGCAAGAAAGGATCGATCGATTGCAACAAGAAAACGATTTGCTTCGGAAAGCATTGCAAACAAGCGAGGTGAGCTTTTGCTCTTAAAAATCCTTTTTCTCACTGATTGTATTGACAAGAATTTTGAACCACTTCGTCGAGAAAGAACGCTGACCGAGGTGGAGCACATCGCGACAGCGCTCGTCCTTTGACGGCCAATCCATTTCGGCACCTCATTTTGGGAAGAGAGCATATCACAAATAAAATTTGAAAATTTCATTTTCAGGTGAAGGTCGAATGCAAAAGCGAAGAGAAAATTACCGATGGCTTTGATGTCAATGAGATAGTGAGTCAAAATCAATTTTTTTTTCGATTGTTGCCGCTTTATTTTGTTTTTTTTTTCAGTATGGAACGAAAAACGAGTTATTGTTGATGGCTCTCAATTATGATATGACTAGTAGGCCGAAGGAATCGGTTGGTAATTCGTGATACCTATTCAACATATATTATCGATTATTAGACCTCATATATGGATGAATAAATCTACTTGATGTACGTGTACTGTTGATGTTTTACACTCGAATTGGTCTGTTTGATGGATCGAAAGCAATACGTACTACTTCTACGCTGGACTTTCAAGTTTGCATACCTCTACGCTTTGATTGTGGTTTTGAGGCAATTTGGTCAATGTGACACCAAGTGGAGTACTCTGATGTAACCAGTGTTGTGTTTGAAGATGTGTGAAAAATTCAGCGTTTGCTATCGATTTCCTCCACGCCGTGTGCGTACTTGGCAATTGGAGGAATCAGGAGAACGGAAAACTGAAGAACCCGCGAAAAGTTTCCTGAGTCCATTGGATTCATTTGTCTTCTCTGAAATTTTGCTTATCACCTTCCTTTTTTCATATATATACTCGATATCGGTGAGTTGGGGTAGGCGTGTCACCGGAAGTGACGTGCACTTGATAGAACTATGTGGATAAGCTGCTTCCAACATACATCGCTGGATATCAGCAAAGCATGCTGGCAACAGCTTATCCACGCAACTTCTATCAAGTGCTCTTATCCCAACTTTCGGATAACGACTGTATGTATGATTGTACGATTTCCCGCGGTATCTGAGAATCGTTAGATCTCTGCTTCTCTTGAAAGTTGGGAACGAAATGCTGCTTTAACATACTATCTGACGGGAAGCAATGGTGCGGTTTTCTGTAGTCAGTTATTTGGATCCCCTCCGTTTGTCTGGGGCGGAAGTGGTGTAGTGGCAAGTGGCACGCTCACCACGCGAGCGGTCCGGGGATCAAATCCTGGGTCGTGAGTCGCCCGGGCCAACCAAGCCTTCCATCCCTCCGGGGTCGGGTTAATTGGTACCAGACTTGTCTGGGAGGATAAAAAACACTGACTTGTACATCGGCTGGCCCCCGCAAGTCATTGTATAGGCCACATCGCATTCAAACGCCACTACGAATGTACAAATGGAAGTAGAATGCGTGCCGCATCCCAAAAAGGGATTGATCAACGGCAAATGCTTTATCCTTTATCCTTATTTTATTCAAATCCCATACATAGTGACAATTTTTTTTTAGCAGGAACTCAAGGTAGGGACTTGGCGAACTAGGATACAGTCACTTGCATTTGCGATTTTGGGAAGAGGACGTGTATGGGATGAATAAGGTCAATAATCTCGTCGAAAACTACGAACGGAGGGCGGTCTTGGTTAAGAGTACCTTCTAGAGATGGTGAAGCAGTATTACGGTGTCTCGAGGGACATGTTGTATTCGTTTTATTTACAGGGGTATCATATAGCAAGGTATACGGGGAGGTGAGGAGGTGAGTCGAAGGCGGTGAGGAGAGCCGCTCACACGCCAATAGCCTAGCTGCCGCTGGAATTGGCAGAGCCCAGGTAGTTCGGCTACGGTTAAAATCCTACATGATGACGCTTTAGAGATTGATGGCATGACTTCAAAGACACGACATCGAAGCGCGAATTGCGCTCAAGGGCGCTATGTCCCAGTTAATATAGAACGGTCACCAAAAATTTCTGAAATAATTCCTAGTACATATAATGCATTAAAGGAAGTGGTCACGATAATTCTCATAGGGACGATAAGGAAAGCTATGTATTGGAGTGGATAGGGGTCCTGCCCAATGTTAGAACACGTGAAGTTTCAGTGGCAGTGGCGCCTTATCAACGGAGTGATAAGGCGCCGAAATCCACTTCCGTTCAGCAAAAACCAAGACTTATCGATGTGGAAAGGGGTGCGATAAGAGCGTGCTAGATATGATACCGTTATCGTTATCGTCCCGTTTTCATTCTGGAGTGCACCTCTTATCAAGCAGCCGCACCTTCTTATCTCATCGTATCATATCTTCCATGGGCTTACACTCGTCCAACAATTACTGCCTCACACCTTATCGATTGATAACGCGAGGGTAGCAAATCCAGCGTGGAAGCCAGCGTGATCGCTTCCTTTAAGTCTGTCTGTCTGACTGAATACCGTCTGCCACGAAATTCGGTACTAACAACAAGTAAACAACAACCTACTGGGTCCAGGTCAAGTTTGGGATGGGTGTACCATATCTCGAGAAGTAAAAAACATACATCAGCTAAGCGGAGCCCCGCCCACAGTGGGCGTGGCGTGCGTCGAAATGAGTGGTACTGAGGACCATGATTTCAAATTCAGTCACAAAACAGCCTCGAGACTGGGGAAAAAGTGGGTATAGGTGTATTGGTAAGCCAGATTGAAATAGGGAGACCCACCTTCGGTGGGCGGGTAGGGGGTATCTAAATATGCGGTGCTAAATGAAAAAGCAACACATACACCGTTCCCAGATTCCTTGCTTCTGCCCATTAGAACTGCTCGTTGCACCGCTGCGTAGATCCATGGCGAAATATACGAATTGATCAATGTCAAAAAATCAAATCAATCCAACCGCAGCGGCAATCGTTCCGCTGACCGTCACAAAGCAAAAGAAAACAGCGAGTTACCGTTTCTTGTGGCACTCGAGACAATCCAAGCAGGGTCAACCGTCCGTTCGAACTGTTCGAACGAAGGGGTCGCATTTTGGTCGGAAGGGGGTCGCAATTTCGAGGACTGCCAGCCACAGGCGCGTGCGTGGCGTATCCGAGGGCAAGACTTGCTTGTGCAGACCGCATTAGATTCGATTTATTATGCACAGAGAGACAGTTTTAGGCAAATTACGGTGTTTTCTTGAGGAATAAAGAACAGTTGAATGCATCCCTATGAAAGGTTTGACTTCTCGGGGCTGAAACAAAGTTCTTTGGAGGGCGACTTCTTCAATGTACTGTGAAAACGTAAGGAAGCGGAAATCTCGCAGTCTCAAATGTCTTTATCTTTCTCCAACAGCCTTCGGGTGTTTGGGAGGAAGTATTATTGCTGAAAGCTCAAAAACTCGCATGTGCTGCTCAAAAACCCATGGGAAAAAATGTTCGAACGTGTGATTTTCTCGAAAAATGAACTTTGAGAAACGGCTTGGTGCTTGTTAGAAAGAGAAATCCTGTACTTTCACCCCATGAAAAAAGTGAATCACAGAAATGAAAATGAAGTGAGTTATGGCCGCTGAAAGCCCAAAAACTCGCTTTTGCACGGAAAATGTTCGAACGGGACAATTTTTTTGAAAAAGGGGACAATCACTAAATTTTTATACTATTTTGTTAGAGAAATATTTGAAGTTTCTGAAACTTTTTACAGATTTCCAAAATGTCGCATACGAAAGATTATTATGGGCCTTCAAAGTTGAAGGTGCGCCTTCTTAGAATTTTGGGTTTTTTCTAACAGAAGTACTTTCCGGAGAGTTAGGCAATCCTTGTAGTTTTCTGAAAGCGCACCTCAGGCACAGTCAAAATCTACCTCAACAAGTCAAAAAATACGTCCCAAGAAAGTTATTCCCTCTAAAATTTTTTCTTCGCCGCGTCCCGTTCTTCCAGCGCCCGGGTGATACCTGCCGCGCTCCAAGGCTGACGCCGCAACGCAGACGCTTCTGCGGCGGCGGCGCAGACGCTTTCTGGCGCAACGGATTCATGTCTAGCACTCTTATTAACAAAAACAGGGGGTCGCAACTGGACCCCTCGAGAGCTAGAGGGTCGCGAAAATCCCGAAATGTCGAACGTGACGGTTGACATTGATCCAGGATGCTCACGTGCCACAGCGAGCGACGCGCGAGTCGTAGAAACAGAAGCAATTAAAAATAAGAGACGATCAGAGCGATGTGAGCCGCCGCAAAACACAGAGACCGAGATATGGGGGGGGTGTATAAAGAAATAAGGAAGCTGCTTGAGGGGGAAGTAATTGTAAGCCTCTTGTACTTCGACGGCGACGACGAATGTGTCGTGTCCCCGCTATCGAGCCGGAGGCCTCGTCATCGTGCTGGATGGTGCCGGAGGCCATCAATCAGCTAAGAGTCGTCACCGTTGATTTCGCAACCTTAGCTGGAGGTATTTAAGCTGCCCCCAGCTTCCAGCGGCAGTTAGGCCGTCGGCGTGAGGCCGACTCACCTCACCTCTACATCTTATCTCCTCACCTATACCTTGTCCCTTGTTATGTTCTTATAGCCATGTAAATAAAGTGTATATAGGCAAAGTCTCCTGTGATACACCGTAACACCGCTACACCTTCAGGTAAAGGCCCGTACAACCTTTTATCTGATATGGAGGTCCCAGTGAGATTTTTTTTTAAATTTCCCCCTTAATGGTACCAAATCCTAAGTTTTGTAAATTTACCTTCTTTCGCACGTAAATTTACCTCATTTCGCCCAACTATCACCTCCTTATACACCAATATCCTTTGTCACCCGGATAAGCAGTCGACAGCTTCATCTTCTTGACAATCATGGAAATCATCAACATCGGACAAAGAACGTACAGGTGAGTCAATTTTTAAGGGAAAGGAGAAGGTAGACTAATCAATTTCAGACAAACCCTAAGTTTCGGCCTATCTCCAGGCGCCCAACTGATTTAACCTTCCCCACCCCCCACAAGCACTATAGTGTCAAATAATGCATTTTAACTGCCACTGGCAAGGCATTATTTGCTTAGATTACAACGGTCCTGGCGACGAGTTCCTCCCTTTCACGGCATACCCATTTAAAAGTCAAAATTCATAGTATCATCATCAAAACACCATTGTTTTTTTGATACTACGCGCCAGTCTTACATGTAATAAATAAGTGAACATAAAACACTTCTATCGCTTGACAACCCCAATTCCTAGATGAAACCAAAAGCAGACTACCAATGGGTAAATTCTGTGTTTCATTCTAGGAGGGAAGAAACCTTAGCAGACCGCACCGGGCATAGTGACCTGCTGCCAGTATGCTGCGTTCACGGGTATTAACGCGATAATTACCGTGTGACCTGACGTCAATTAAAAGGTCAACCCCACCTCATTAAGCTAACTAACTTGGTTAAACATCAATATATCAATTGAGAGACCAAATCAATAATATTTGACCAATTCAAGTAAAAATAAG